CTTCACTGTTGGACCTTCATCTCTCTCTTCTTCTTCTTCTGCCTGGCTTTGCGGCTTTGCCTTAACCGGCATTCAAAGATTTAGGTTCCCTCTCTCTGCGTGCGTGCGTGTGTGTAGCGTTTATGGTATTCTTACTTTTTTTTTTTTTTGGTAAGGATGGTATTCTTACTTTGTTAGTCCATATTTAGTAAAAGTTTTTTGGAGCAATTAAGTGTTACCAAGTAGTCATTAAAAGTTTTATTATCATCACTTCTTTTTGTTGCATAAACAAGTAGCAATTAACAGTTGCTGCTACACATTTGTGCGGTATCTGTCTTGGTGTTATGCACTGGCTTTTATGGCAGCGCTGGAAAAGGCCGAGAGGGTCAGGGACGGGTTCAAATCTCAGTAAATGGGATTCTGGACATGTACAGTTTCCCCTTCCTACCAAGCGATAAAAAAAACGAGGATTAGATTGCTCACAATATTCGACGAAAAGCATTATATGCTAATATTTTGAGGAAGCCTAATTTGGAGTTCATTGAAAGACTTCTTTTAGAGCAAAAGAAGGGTAATTGTAGATGGGAAGTTTTTTGGGACATATAGTTTCAATCGGTCCTATGAAGCAGTAAGAAAGCAGTTGTTAGTCAGCTATTGAGTTTCTCGATGTTCACATTAATACGTTTCTTTTCCAAGTCACTGTGGAGTTGGACCTCAGGACGTGTAGTCTTCTTCATCCTAACTTAGTAGACTGACTTTTAATTGACTTGCTATTGACCTGTTTCTTTCTTCTTTTGCTGTGAGGGTAGTACTAAGCAAGAACCTTCTATTTTCCTTCATTTGCTTGCACGGCAAGTCGCATAAAAGAAGGATATACAGAGTTATTCCCAAGCACTAGCATGAGGAAGACCTGCTCATATGTTGCCAAATTGTATTTTAGATAGTATTTTCTCCAGATGAGGAGAGAATATAGTATATTGCATGGAAGATGTAGATCAAGCACATCTGGGTCGTAGATCGTGTGTTTCCCACAGTGATATCCACATATTATAATTCTAATGATATTTGTCCCCATGGTCTGTAGACCATAAGGTAACTTCTTGGCGGATGCTTACCTAACGGCATGGCTTTATGTTTGTGTCAGGAGTAGTTGTGTTGTAGACCTTATCTATTCTTCTAAAAATCAAGTCGACGCACCAGTTTATTACGTGTCAGTTATGTAACAAATGACGATAGGCATGTACTCGTAAGCAAGCACTATATGTAGATGTCAGTCGGTGTCAACATTAGTGATACATTGTGCAACCACTCTATCTCTAACTTAGCTGCTCTAAGCTAGTTTGACTCCATCACGAAGTCCCCATAATTCAGCTTGCACACTAGAAGGGTTTAATCAATATATAGGAACTATATACCCTATGATCAAGTAGTGACAATGTGTACCATTGTGAAGGGGTATACAAGTGTGCATATGCTACATTGTTTTCCTCTTTCCACCGGATGATGGTGACTAGGTGTTAAGATTGTAGCATGGTATATGTGTGAATGCAACACAATCTTTGTACCTGATAGAATTCTAAACCTACAAATCCAAAATTTTGAAGCCTACCATGTAAATCGAGCATATAAACAGTCCATCATATTTTTGTTTCTCATGTTGCTCGAAGAGCAGATATCGTAAAGTCCGTAGCTACTCAATCCACTTGCGATCTGTATAGATCCCTGACATCGACACGGTCTCTCTCTCAGATTGATGCCACGCGACAAGCCCTTTATGAGGTAGTGATCATGTCAAGAACCGAAATGGTCGGTTGGTACAATAACCCTTGCAACTTTCAAGTGACCTCTGTTTGGTTATGAATGATTGGCGGGGTGTCGAAATCGAAGGGGTGTCAAATTCTGCAATTTTCTAGATTCACCCTTACTATTTGTTCAAATCCCCTTACTACCAACCTAATTTTGTTTTTTGATCATTTTGTCAGAAAGAAAACTGTTTTCGAGAAATTATTTTTGGACTTTCCGGTATTTGGATGACGAAAAATTAATTGATCTATGGAAAACGTTTTCCATGGACTGAAAAACAACAAGTTTAAATCGAAGGAAAATAACTTCCCCTTCTAGCAAGAAGGAAGTCACCTTATCATTGGAAAAATTAACGGCTAAATTTTTACAATTACAAAATTGACATCTAATCTTGTCTAAATCGCTCAAATTTTACTAGATATATTTTGAGGATAAATTTGACCATACTTTCCAAATGTCCCCAAAAAGAAAGGCATGAACTTTCATTTGAGGCATAAAAGGCATCGTCTTTATCTTTTTGGTCCTAATAACCCCACGTTAAGAGCTGAGTTAGCTAATGACGATGACGTGAAATTTTTCATTATTAAAAAATTAAAGAACCAACATTAGTGATTTAAAAACCAAAAGAAAATACTTTCTCTTTGACCGTATCAACCCATTCCTTTATTAAATAAAGTTTTGGCCCTTTTTTTGACCGTATCAACCCACTCTTCGTCGGGCCTTGTCCATGGCCGGCGACCTTCAATGCCAAGTTTTATTCCGGTTGTCAATATTTAGTTACTGTAACATATTCTTCTAAAAGGTCTATCTGGATTCACTTCAATTTTGTACATTTTATTTAATACAAATCCCGCAAATTACGCACTTTGACTTTTTTTAAATACAAAATTCTTGAAACACTTAAAAGTTGACATAAACATTCACGTATAATTCTTTCATAATTTTTTGAAATCTGAAAAATTATTTAAATTTTAACGAGAAAATTAGAAAGTACTCTTCGCTTTTATTGAACTACAAACAATCAGGTTACCCAAATATACCATACCTACAATTACATCATTGTATTTCGTTGAAATTCATGTCTGCTAACTATGCTCAAAACTTTTGCATTTGAGGCTTGCTTGATTGGTGGGTTCTTTAATTTTTCATTGGAGGATGACACGAGGGCACATGAGAATTTCTCTTGGTCAATTATTTCCAAAAGCGTGAACTTGAATTCGACGCGGGCTGTTGTTTTCCCACTTAGTTTTACCCAAACAAGACGTCTGTTCTTTTTCACACTTACGTTTATAGAAACAATCTACTTATCTCCAAGATCATTCGGAAAAGACAGACATTCTCTTCACTGTTGGAACTTCATCTCTCTCTCTCTTCTTCTTCTTCTTCTGCCTGGCTTTGTGGCTCTGCCTCGAACCCCATTCAAAGATCCAGGTTCCCTCTCTCTGCATGTGTGTGTAGCGTTTATGGTTTTTTTGCTTTGTCAGACCATATTTAGTAAAGCTTTTTGGAGCAATTAAGTGTTAACAAGTAGTCATTAAAAGTTTTATTATTATCACTGCTTTTTGTTGCATAAACAAGTAGCAGTTGACAGTTGCTGCTACACATTAGTGCGGCATTCGTCTTGGTGTTATGCACTGGCTTTTATGGCGGCACTGGAAAAGGCGGAGACAGGTTCAAATCTCAGTGAATGGGATTCTGGACATTTACAGTTTCCCCTTCTTACCAAGCGATTAAAAAACAAGGATTAGATTGCTCGCAATATTCGACGAAAAGTATTATATGCTTATAGGTTGGGGGAGCCTAATTCGGAGTTCATTGAAAGACTTCTTTTAGAGCAAAAGAAGGGTAATTGTAGATGGGAAGTCTTTGGGACATATAGTTTCAATTGGTCCTATGAGGCAGCAAAAAAGCAGTTGCTAGTAAGCTATTAAGTTTCTCGATGTTCACATTAGTACGATTCTCTTCCAAGTCACAATGGAGTTAGACCTCAGGACGTGTAGTCTTCTTCATCCTAACTTAGTAGACTGACTTTTAATTGGCTTGCTAGTGACATGTCTCTTTCTTCTTTGCTGTGGGGGTAGTACTTAGCAAGAACCTTCTATTTTCCTTCATTTGTAGCGGGAAGTCGCATAAAAGAAGGATATACAGAGTTATTCGCAAACACTAGCATGAGGAAGACATGCTCATATATTGCCAAAATGTATTTTAGATAGCATATTCTCCGGATAAGGAGAGAATATTGTATATTGGATGATGGACCATGTAGATCAAGCACATATGGACCGTTGATTGTGTGGATCCCACGATGATATCCACATATTTATTATTCGGATGATATCTATCCACGTGGTTTGTAGACCATAAGGTAGCTTCTCGGTGGATGCTTACCTGACAACGCAGCTTTATGTTTGTGTCAGGAGTAGTTGCCTTGTAGACCTAATCTATTTTGCTAAAAGTCAAGTTGACACACCGGTTTATTACCTATCAGTTATGTAACGAACGGGGATTAGCATGTACTCATAAGCAAGCACTGTATGTGGATGTCAATCAGTATTAACATTAGTGATAAATTGTGCAACCACTCTATCTCTAACATAGCTGCTCTAAGCTAGTTTGACTCCATCACGAAGTCCCCATAATTCAGCTTCCACTCTGGAAGGGTTAAATCAATAAATAGTCTCAAATCAGCCTTCTTGACGTCGTTTTATTTGAACTGATATAAGTTGTAACTGTTTTGAGGCTACCGGTCGCATGGCCAAACAAATCTTATTCATTAGCTATGGTTAAGGTCGTTTGCGTGATGTGCTGGAGGTATTCCGTTTTGAAAGAAACTGATGTGCATTTCTAGGTTTCAAAAAGGCACAACAGGTTGAAGTAAAGGCAATACACAGAGTTTCTTAAGGTCTAAGGCGCATCTGTTTTTCAGTTTGAGTGACAAGGTGTTTGGCGTTAAGCAATTCAACACCAACTTTTTGAAGGTTGTTCGATCAATTGCCATTTTGGTTAAGGTCAACCAGAGCTAGTACACAATTTTGTTTTCTTAAGGTCTAAGGCGCATCTGTTTTTTCAGTTGTTGCGCCATGTTCACTTTCAATTGAACCATACAAGAAGTTTCTAACAAGTCTATCAATTCAGTAGAATTGCTTGGCATCTAAGGTATCATAACTACTGCATTACATGAGAGGCAGAACACAAGTGACCAATTGAGTCCGAGTCACTCGCTTGATCTAATACTTCAAGAAACAGAAACATCACTCTTTGCCGTGGAATAGTGTACGATTCGTGTACATCTTCGCACCCGATGTTTTTCTGGATTTGTCAAATGATGATCATACTCTTCATTATTTCCTAGCACACCTCCGAATCACCTAGGACTTCCATCACTCCCATCAATGTCAAATTCTCTATCGGCTGCTGTCTATGTTATCATCTGGATGAATGTTGTTGATAACAACAGTGATAAATATTATAATATCCATGGCATGCTTGTTCCGATTCCTTTTCAGGGCATGGAGTGATTCGAAAATGTCTGTTGGCCATCCTCAAATATTTTTGTTTCTACTAGAGCTTCCATCACTGAGATTGTGCATTTAACTTTTGTATTTCTGTTTAATTGTTCATCAATGACTCAAATTTTCAGACTTTTGGCAGCTGCAGATGCTTTCCACAATGAAAAGAAGCTAGTGAAAGAATGCAAATGAGCCTCTGAATCTTCAGAACAAGGATAGTTCACGGCTCAGTGAGAATGCATCTGACAAAAGAGGCTCTAGCACAAACAGTGTTCATCCTTTCATTAAGCCTTCCATCTGCCACTTCCGAATCCTTCAACAACATTTCTTTCAATTTCCCGACTTTTCAATCAAACGTTCAGAGATTAACTTTTGAGGGCAATGCCTCCATAGTGAACTCCAATATCCAACTCACTCTAGGTGAGCCAATGGAGTGCCCCAAAGAAGCAGTTGGCCGGGCAACATATCAACAACCCATGCACCTGTGGGATAGTTCAACAGGGAACATGGCGGATTTTGTCAGCCAGTTTACTTTCACTATCGATTCCCATAGGAACTACTCCCGCGCCGATGGATTGGTTTTCTTTCTTGCTCCTAATGGATCGCAGATCCCTGAACACTCAGAAGGACCCTTTCTAGGCCTCACAAATTCGACTCTAAACTCTACCAACTCTAATACTGCATTTGTTGCTGTAGAGTTTGATACTTTCTATGACAATTTGACAAATGCATGGGATCCACAATGTGATCATGTCGGAATCGATGTGAACAGCCTGGCTTCTGTCAAAAAAACTTGTGTACCATGGATGGATTACAACATATTCCATGGTAAAAAACTCCATGCTCAGATCACATACAATTCTAGGGAAATGAACTTGAGTGTTATTTTTGGAGATAATGCTGATAATTCTACCAGCCTTTACTATCATCCAGTCAACCTGACGGAGTACTTGCCGGAATGGGTCGTTTTCGGTTTCTCGGCATCAACTGGGCAGTTTCTCGAGGCTCATGCTATTTTCTCATGGGAATTCAACTCTAGTCTACAAATCCCCGACACACCTTCGGGTGTAATAACTCGAGGAAAAAAGAGCAAGTCGTGGGTAAGGGGGGCTATCTTAGGCTTAAGCTCTTTTGTGTTGCTTATCCTTGTTGCAGGATTTGGCTGGCTTAATTTTAAGCTAAAGAGAAATAGAGATGGTCGAAGTGGAGAAGAAGAAGATGTTCCTGGGATTGATGAAGGATTTGAACAGTCGAAGGGGCCCAAGAAGTACTCCTACAAGGTCTTGGCCATGGCAACTAACAACTTTGCCAATACCCGGTTGCTCGGGGAAGGGGGTTTTGGAGGAGTGTATGAAGGCCACCTCACTAATGCAAATTCCCATGTCGCTATCAAGAAGATCACTCCAGAGTCCAACCAAGGTGTAAAGGAGTATGCCACTGAAGTGAAGACGATTAGACATCTCAGGCATAAAAATTTAGTGGAGCTCATCGGCTGGTGTCATGAGAGAGAGAAGTTCCTCCTCGTGTATGAGTTCATGTCTAACGGTAGCTTAGACTCTCATTTGTTCAAAGATAAAGCGCCGCTAACATGGGAAAAGAGGTACAGTATTGCTCAAGGCATCGCCTTAGGGCTAAAGTACTTGCACGAGGATTTGAAACAATGCGTTGTGCACAGGGATATAAAGTCCAGCAACATCCTACTTGATGCACAATTTGAGGCTAAATTGGGCGATTTTGGCCTGGCTCGGATAATTGACCATGCCAAAGGGTCACAAACAACTCTGTTGGCTGGGACCATGGGATATTTGGCCCCTGAATGTATCTATACAGGCAAGGCAAGCAAGGAATCTGATGTCTACAGCTTCGGAGTTGTCCTCTTAGAGATAGCGTGTGGAAGAAAAGCTATCGAACTGAGAGCATCAGAAGACCAAGTCCAACTTGTGGAGTGGGTCTGGGAGCTCTATGGAATTGGAAAGCTATTAGATGCAGCGGATCCAAAGTTAAAAGAAAATTTCGATGCGAGACAAATGGAGTGCTTGATGATTGTAGGCCTCTGGTGCACTCATCCGGACACTAAAGAACGGCCTCCAATAAGCAAAGCAATAAACTTTTTCAACTTTGACGCTTCACCACCCACTCTGCCACCAAAGTTGCCCATCCCGACATATATTGTTCCTACATCTCCGATGCCTGAACTGTCGCACATTTCGTCGGCCAGCTTCAAAAGTATTGAACCACCGAGCGCTTGCAGTACTGAACTATCTGCATCTACTGGCTCTTCCTAGGAATCTTCCACTTCAACTTCTTCTGTATCGCACGGCTACAAGCATACCTTTGGTTTCTTGCTTCTATATGCTCTTTATTGTTGGATTTTCATATTGACGGAATTATAGGAAAGATAGATAGCTTGGTCTGTTTCGAGTGGCTATTACTCATCTCGAATCCAGGATTTCGTAATTTGTCCCTCGCGAAATTATGAAAATAGGTTTGTTCTTCCTCCCACTCTTCTCTCTCGATACACTCTCATTCTCGTATTCAGAATCGCAAATTTACTAAAATTTACATGACACGTTTTAGGGGAAAACAGAGTTTCAATGTCTATGTTAGCAATATATGCAGGAGATTATGTATATTTCCCCTAATCGGTCCAGATTGATTGTAGTTGATATTCTGCTAAATAGACTCATGTACTACTCATTTGATAATGTACAGAATATTACATTTTCTCTCTTGCATTACAATTCTCAACTTGGTACCAAAGTCTTATTGTTGTTTGAGGAAGCGGTCATTGAGTCTTTTGTAACAACGCCAGCCGTATCGGCTAAGTTTCTCCATGGTGGTGTCGCAACCCTCCTAAGGGCTCTCCCAAACCCTTCTGATCGTGACTTGGTTTCATCAATTGATTATGGAAATTGTTTTTTTACTTTAGGAATCGCCATTAATCTATTAGGGCCGGTTTAAAAACCGAGTAAGGCATGGGAGTTTACCTTTCTTCTGCGAACCAGAGATTCTGGATACAAGGACTTGGTTATGCTAATTGTCTAATTAACGCCCTTTCGGTACTGATTCTCAATCTTTCAAAAGTGTAAATAATGTAAGACGAAATAGTATTGATCTTCAGTAGTCCTACGATGCAGTGATCGGTTAAATGCAACCTTGATTTTTTGTCTTCTCAAATTTTTTATTTCAATTGGAGACATGCATGATTGAAGTCTAATTAAACTAAATGCTTATTCACTAGTTGCAAACTAAGTGCAGTACAAAGGATCGAATTAGATAAAATGCAAAAAACGCAACCGTGCAAACATGACTTAAGAAATGACGTGAATATGAGATGACAACCCAAACCTAAATCAACATGAAACGCAACTATTGAATGCAAGTTTACAAGCTAGATGCGTATGAATCTAGTATGACCTAAACATACAAGGAATGACAAAAAAATGACTTTATAACGTAAAGAGAGTCTCCCGGAATCAAGACAATCGATTGAGACCTGTCCGGAGCAAGTTTTCGTATTGGGAAGAGGACCAATGCTTGCCGTTGTCCATGACTTAGGACAGCAACACATGACTTCGTTTATATATGGAAAACTATACTACACCATGCTAAAATGACTAGGAACTCGACTACATACCAATACCTCATAATGAGCAATCAAGGCAACAGTCAAATGAGTTTAAAAACGGGATAAAAACGCCATAAATACCATAACTTTCGTATGGCGCTCACTTGAGAGCTGTAACTTTTTGTTTTGATCACTTAAGCGCCATAACTTTTAAAAAAACATGCACTTGAGTGCTGTAACTTTCAATCGATTACTTAAGTGTCAAAATCTTTTAAAATTATTCATCTAAGTGTCGAAAATCCGACGTGGCATAGCACTTGTGGTGAATGTTTTTAAAAAGTTATGGCACTCATTTGAAGAAAAAGGAACGTCATACATAAGTTATGGCACTTGAGTGATCGAAAAAAAAGTTATGTCACTCAAATGAGCGCTGTACGAAAGTTATGACACTTATGGTGTCGTTTTTCTAGTTAAGAACCGTTATAATTCATTCCCAAGAAGAGAACCAGCAAACATCCACTGAACACAGCCCACATTTCATATTGAAGATGATGTCTAAACATGTCAACGTGACTGAGAGATCATCAATATACTAGTACCACATCACAAACGATTAAAATACCACTCAAATGAGGTTGGAACCATCACATTTCACACGCAAAGATGGGCGACCAGCAAATAAGGGTGCGAATGGTAACCATTCTGCTCCAGAAATCAAATTCTTGCCAGAAATTGATTTTTGGAATTCTTGCCAGAAATTGATTTCTGGAGGAGAAATCTGTTTGGTAAAACATGACTAATTCTGCCTCAGAAATTGATTTCTGGAACAGAAATCTGTTTTGATTTGTTGATTTTTTTTGCACCTAAAAAAATTTAAATTTTACTCAAAGTGGGTGGCCACATGTATTATAAGCCATTCTGCAAAGTTTTGAAATTTTTGATTTTTTTTAATTTTTTTTGGGCACCTAAAAAAATTTAAATTTCACTCAAAGTGGGTGGCCACAGGTATTCTAAGCCATTTTGTGAAGTTTTGAATTTTTTTATTTTTTTATTTTTTTGGGCACCTCAAAATATTTAAATTTTACTCAAAATGGGTGGCTACAGATATTCTAAGCCATTCTGTGAAGTTTTGAAATTTTTTATTTTTTATTTTTGGCACCTAAAAAAATTTAAATTTCACTCAAAGTGAGTGGCCACATGTATTTTAAGCCATTTTGTGAAGTTTTGAAAATTTTTATTTTTTTATTATTATTTTTTGGGCACATCAAAAAATTTAAATTTCACTCAAAGTAGGTGGCCACAGGTATTTTAAGTCATTTTGTGAAGTTTTGAAATTTTGGATTTTTTTTGGGCACCTCAAAAAATTTAAATTTCACTCAAAGTGGGTGTCCACATGTGTTTTAAGCTATTCTGTAAAGTTTTGAAATTTTTTAAACAAAAAAAAAATTCACCAAATTTCATATTTTCCAGAAATCTGACTTTTTTTTATTTTCTGGAAATTTTTATGAATTTTTCTAGAATTTTTCAATTTTTATGCATTTTCTGAAAAAAAAAATTTGTGAGAAAATAGGGAGAATGCATTCCGGAATCAAGAAGTTACAAAAAGTAGCTTCTCTTTTTCTTGCCAAAAACTCATTCCGGAATCAAGAATGCATTCTGGAATCAAGTATTTTTAACAAACGCATTTTTATTCCAGAATGTAAAAATCGCTCCAGAATGCATTCCGGAAACTTTTTAACAAACGCCATTCTGTTCCGGAATGCATTCCGGAACAGAATTTTTATTCCGGAATGCATTCCATGCGCACCCTAACCAACAAGCAAACAGCCATATATACTGACAGACCAATGCATTGATTTGATAAAGAGTCTAAACAGAATGGAAAAATATGATGCACTCTTACGTTTATATTTGTCCTCATATGACTGAAATAACATACAAACAAAGCTGACCGATCACCAGTAGTTATGACTGAACAACACATTTAACTGTATGAAAGCGAGTTGTATGGTTGTGGATGGGTACCGAGGTCGGAAAATACTAATATGTTGCGTGCAAAGGGATGGATAGGAACAACTAGTGAGGGAAATAAGACAATACCACACGCTAAAGCTTTTAGTCATGATAAGGACGGGTATTTAGCCATGACTGCAAAGAAATCACGGACAAACATCGAAGGAAGGTTTAATTTACGAAACTATGATAAAATATTCAAAATGATATTCGGGCTTCTACCCGGCGGAGTTCTCCCAAATACTACACGGGAAACTCGATTCTTTCTTCTGCAATTGAGCTGATTGCCCCTAAAAAAGTTTTCTTTTCTTTAATAATTTTCTCTTGCTATGCTTTTTCGATCGAAAATTCTGCCTTACCTTGACATGCCGTGAATCCTCTTGAAAGAGAGGTGTGCCTTCGGATGGGGTGGTGGTAGGGAAGCTGCTGGTACCCTATGATGCAATTGGAGCTTATCAACAGAAAAGAATCAATTTAGATAGTCCTTTGAGGCTTCTAATTACAGCAGTTCGTCCTGATCCTAGATAAAGTACGAAAAGAATGATGCATTCAATTAAGCAGCAATGACCGCTATTCCACGCCGAAAAGGTGGAGCCAGAACTGGTAACCTGACACGGTTCATCGATGACCACTAATTGCACTCTTGACGGACTGCGCCACTTTCAATGGGTCCGACAGGTAACTGAAAATATCATCGACTATGTTTCGGACTTCTGCATTTGATGCTTGTTTGATTGGTGGATTCTTCTTTCATTTTCTCTGTTTGTTTTTTGCTAAAACTTCTTTCATTTTCTCATTGAAGAAAGAGAAAAGGACGCACGAAAACATCGCTTGGTCCTACACGCATTGGTTATTTTGCAAAGCACGACCTTGACTTTCTTGACGCGGTCTGTTCTATTTCACACTTGTATTTTTGTCCAAACAATCTATTTTTCTCCAAAGGAAAAGAGAGACCTGTCTTTACTGCTGGATCTTCATTTCTTTCTATCTCTTCTTCTGACTGGTTTTGTGTCTCCACCTCAACGCTCCTTCAAAGATCCAGGTTTGCTCTCTCTCTCTCTCTCTCTCTCTCCCTGCGTGTGTAGCGATTATGGTATTTTTGCTTTGTTTGTCAAAGGATATTCTGTGAAATAATGCAAATCTCAAGTAAATTTATCAACTAATGTGTTTGATTTTGAACAATATTTAGCGAAGCTTTTTTAAGCATCTAAGTGTTAACAAGTAGCCATCAGCAGTTTGTTTTCTTATTTGCATGAACAAGTAGCCATTAACTGTTGCTGCTGTACATTAGTCTGGCATTCGTATTGGTGTTATGTACCGGCTTTTATTGCGGCACTAGAAAAGGCGGAGAGGGTCAGGGATGGATTAACCTTGGTGGATGAGATCCTGGACCTGTGGAGTTTCCCTGTCTCACCAAAGCGAAAAAAAAGAAGGAGAATTATATTGCTTGAAAAATTCGACGAAAGGAGGATAGATAGAGTTATTGACAAACACTAGCAGAAACAGAGTTATATACAAACACTAGCGCGAGGAAGACATGCCCATATGTTGCCAAATCGGATTTTAGATAGCATAATCTCCGGCTAAGGAGAGAGTATTATATGGTGCATGGACCATGTAGATCAAGCACATCAGGACCATTGATCATGAGGGCCCCTTAGTGAGATTCACATAGTTAATGATTTGGGTGATATTGATTCACATGATCTATAAACAATAGAGTAACTTCTCGGCGAAAGCTTACCTAACGCCGTAGCTTTAAGTTTTTTTGTCGGTCATGTAGACCGTATCTATTAAATTAAAAATCAAGTCAATGCACTGGTTTATCACATGCCAGTTGTATAATGAACAGAGATTGACATGGACTCATAAACAAGCGCTATATGTGGATGTCAATCAGTATTGACATTAGCGATACATTGCGCAACCACTCTATCCCTAAATTAGCCACTCTAAGCTAGTTCGAGTCTGTCGTGAAGCGTTAAATCAAATATAGTCTCAAATCATCCTTCTTAAGGTCACAACATAACGCCTAGTGACAAGGCAATCAAAATTCTCCTCTTGGCAAGGTTCCCACTTATTATTAGGTAGTGGTTTGGTTCAGAAGGATATCCTGAAATCATATGCATACCCATAAACTCCTAAATTCACAAAGATAATGAGCATAAAACCATCATCATCCAATAATCCACGCAAGCAATCCAAAATCAATATCATAAAAGAGAACACATTTCACAAATCAAAACATATAACCTTTCGCAACTTAATTCATCAATTATAATACCTTTTGTAAAGCTTTTCTAAATCATTTCATAAGTTAGATTCGCAAAGCACTACATATAACCTTTTATAACACGTTTCTCAAATAATTTGTAAATAACCAAATAGTAGTAAATGTCCAATCCCAATTTATGCAACAAAAATGCTATTTTGTAACTCATAATATATAGAATCCCTATCACTTTCAAGTCATGGATTTACAAATTCAAAAAAGAGATAAGCACCACTAACCTGGAAATGTCTAAAAGCAAAAAACAAACATTACTCAGGCCGACGAACTCACAATCCTATAAAATAAGCGAGAAACAATATAAAAATCTACCTCAACTACGAATCGACTAAACTAAGCTTAATCGCCGAAAAAACGACTCCAACACGTCAACAAAACGCTCACCCAAAGTAGATATTGAAAGTTATTTGCTCCACGGAACTCATCCGTGAAACTTTAAAAATTCATTTCAACTAACCCATAACTTGAAATTGATTTCCATCAAACCCTACAGTTTCACAACATCCTAACCTATCATTTTCATATAATTCCATAGCTTAACAACTCTGAAACCGAATCCCGCAATTCAAAATTCACATAACTCCGAATTTATTACCTAACTTCTAAAATAATTCCGATTAGATGAACAAAGGGTACGAATCCTTGCCGGGCGCTGCGAAACAAGTTAATTTGGCTTAGCAAGGTCTCCGAAACATTTACTCGTGAAACCTTTATCTTCTTTCTTTTCTTTTCCTTTTCTTTCCCTTTCTTTCTTTTCTTTTCTTTTCTTTGTTATTTCCTTTTCTGTGCGTGCCCTATCTTTTCCCTTTATAATAAGTGTCTACTTTTCTTTTCTTTTGTTGACCAGTCAAAAATTCCTCTTTGTTTCTTTTTTTAGGCGCCTGCCCATTTTGACTCAGTCAACGCCACTGTTACACTTCCAATTTGGTTTGAGTGGGCGAGGTGTTCGGCCTAAGCAAACCCACACCAAGTTTCCGCTGGTTGTTCGATGAATTGCCATTTTGATTAAGATCAACCAGAACTAGTACGAAATTTTGTTTTCTTAAGGTCCAAGCCACATCTGTTTTTTCAGTTGTTGCGCCATGTTCATTTTCAATCGAACCCCACAAGAGGTTTCTCTCGCAAGTCTATCAATTCAGTGGAGTAGCTTGACTTCTAGTTGATCACAGCTACAGCATTACATGAGAGGCAGAACTCAAGGGACCGACTGAGTCAGAGTCACTCGCTTGATCTAATACTTCTAGAAACGAAGAACATAACACTTAGCCGTGGAATAGTGTGCGATTCATCTGCATCTTGGCCCCCAAAATTTTTCTGGATTTGTCAATGATGATGGTGCTCTCCATTACTTCCTAATGCACCTCGTAAACACCTAGGACTCCCATCACAGTCAAATTCTCTATCAGTTACTGTCAATGTTATCAACTAGATGAATGTTTTCAATAACAACAGTGATTCAAAAGTATAACATCATAGCATCCATGTCATACTTCTTCCAATTCCTTTTCAAGGCATGGAATGATTCGGAAATGTCTGTTGGCCATCCTCAAAAATTTTGTTTATACTAGAACTTCCATCACTGAGATTGTGCATTCAACTTTTGTATTTCTGTTTAATCGCTCATCAATAACTCAAATTTTCAGACTTTGGCAGCTGCAGGTGCTCTCCACAATGAATAGAAGCTAGTGAAAGAATGCTGACGAGCCTCTAAATATTTGGAATAAGGATAGCTCACGGTTCAGCGAGAATGCATCTGACAAAAGAGGCACTAACCCAAGCAGTCTTCATCCTTTCATTAAACATTTTATCTGCCAATTCCGAACCCTTCAAAAACATTTCTTTCAATATCCCTTCTTTTCAATTGAACGATCAGAGAATAACTTTTCAGGGAAATGCTTCCGTACTGAACTCCATCATCCAACTCACTGTTGGTGCGTCAAAGGAGAGCCCCACATACATAGTTGGCCGAGCAATATACCATGAACCCTTGCATCTGTGGGATAGTTCAACAGGGAACGTGGCAGATTTTGTCAGCCATTTTACTTTTGCTATCGATTCCAGTGGGAGCGACTCCCATGCTGACGGATTGGCATTCTTTCTCGCTCCCAATGGATCGCAGATCCCTGAACACTCAGAAGGATGCTTTCTAGGCCTCACATCAAATCTAAATTCTGCCAACTCTAGTACTGCATTTGTTGCAGTAGAGTTTGATACTTTCTATGACCATTCGACAAATAAATGGGATCCGCTATGTGAACATGTCGGTATCGATGTAAACAGTGTGGCTTCTGTCCGTGAAACTTGTGTCTCATGGATGGAATACAACATACTCCATGGCCTAGAACTCCATGCTCAGGTCACATACGATTCTAGAGCAATGAACTTGAGTGTTGTTTTTGGAGATAATGCTGAAAATTCCGTCAGCCTTTACTATCAGCCACTTAACCTGACAGAGTACTTGCCGGAATGGGTGGTTTTTGGTTTCTCGGCAACAACAGGGCAGTTGTTTGAGGCTCATGCTATTTTCTCATGGGAATTCAACTCTAGTCTGCAAATCCTTGACAATGTAAACGGTACAACAAATGAGACTAACGTCGACCCACCTACAGGTGGTATAACTCGAGGAGAAAAAAGCAAGTCGTGGGTGAGGGGGGCTACCTTGGGCTTAAGCTCTTTGGTGTTGCTTATCCTTGTTGCAGGATTTGGCTGGTATTGCTGTCAGCTAAAGAGAAATAGGAATGATCAAAGTGGAGAAGAAGAAGACGTTCCGGGGATTGATGAAGGATTTGAACAGTCCAGGGGACCCAAGAAGTACTCCTACAAGGTCTTGGCCATGGCAACTAACAACTTTTCCAATACCAGATTGCTAGGGGAAGGGGGTTTCGGAGGAGTGTTTGAAGGCCACCTCTCTGATGCAAATTCCCATGTCGCTATCAAGAAGATCTCTCCAGAGTCCAAACAAGGCGTAAAGGAGTATGCCACTGAAGTGAAGACGATTAGACATCTCAGGCATAAAAATTTAGTGGAGCTCGTCGGCTGGTGTCATGAGAGAAACAAGTTCCTCCTTGTGTATGAGTTCATGTCTAACGGTAGCTTAGACTCTCATTTGTTCAAAGATAAAACGCCGCTTACATGGGAAAAGAGGTACAATATCGCTCAAGGCATTGCCTTAGGGCTGAAATACTTGCACGAGGATTTGAAACAATGTGTTGTGCACAGGGATATAAAGTCCAGCAATATCCTACTTGATGCACAATTCGAGGCTAAATTGGGGGATTTTGGCTTGGCTCGGATAGTCGACCATGCCAAAGGGTCGCAAACAACTCTAGTGGCTGGGACCACGGGATATTTGGCCCCTGAATGTATCTATACAGGCAAGGCAAGCAAGGAATCTGATGTCTACAGCTTCGGAGTTGTCGTCTTAGAAATAGCGTGTGGAAGAAGAGCTATCGAACCGAGAGCATCACAAGGCCAAATCCAACTCGTGGAATGGGTCTGGGAGCTCTATGGAATCCAAAAGCTATTCGATGCAGCAGATCCGAAGTTAGGAGAAAATTTTGATGCGAGACAAATGGAGTGCTTGATGATTGTAGGCCTCTGGTGCGCTCATCCAGACCCTAAGGAACGGCCTCCCATAAGCAAAGCGATAAGCTTTTTGAACTTCGATGCTTCACCACCCATTCTCCCACCAAAGGTGCCCATCCCGACATATATCGTGCCTCCATCTTTGATGCCCGAATCGTCGCACGTTACGTCCACCAGCTTCAGAAGTAGTGAACCAACGAGTGCTAACAATTACGAACTGTCCACATTTACCGGCTCTTCCAAGAAGTCTTGCAGTTGATCTTCTTCCGTATTGCTTTCGAATGCAGAGTAAGTTCACTGTTTTTATGGGTTCTGTAATGCGACTTTGGTGTTCTATGATTCGTATGTATTACATGTATACAAGCAGACCTTTAATTTCAAGTTTCTATTTCCTCTTATTTTTGGATTTTCACATTACGTGTTAGATTTTGTGTCAGCATTGTATGGATTTTGATGTGAAAGTGGGTGTATATGTGTTAGTGGGACAACATAGCAAAGGGTGAAAAGGAAACATATATAACTTTCATTGAGAAAGGATTACAATGTTGATGGGTTTCATTCTTTTTGGTTGGTCTCTCTTGTATGCATGACTGAACAGTCTTGCCTATTAATAGACTCAATCCATCGACCTATACATGCAATTTATCTCTGCAATTGTCAGATATTATTTCTTGTTTTTAATTTGGGCCACAAACTTCAACTACTACCTATTAAACTCATGATCTGTTTCAGTGGCTATTAGTCATCTCAATCCAGGATTTTGTAATTTTGTGGCTTGCAAAATTATGCAGTCATAACGTAAATCGCATTGTCCTTCGTCCTACTCTCGACTTCTCTCTCTCTCATACTCACAATCTATATTGGTAACCATCAAACTTACATTAGAAGTTTGAGAAGGGAAAACCAGTTCCAAGGTCTACCTAGGAATTGGCAGATTCGGTTTTTAGTTTCTGGTTTTGAGAATGAAGACAGAGCTTGAAACTCTCTCTTTTAATTAATTTTTTTTGGATTTGAAATTCTGATATAGTTCTTCCTTAATCCACTTGAATTTGCCCAGTCGGCCGCCTCCTGGAGAGATTACTGAAAACGAAAGCCAGGTGGCTCATGCCAGTCCCAACTGTCACGGTGTGCTTGGATGGAACTCTGCGATTCTAAGCTATCAGCTGGACAATAGTTAAGCAGCCATTGAAGTCAATCAATCTAAGTTTATGAGATTTGGTCACCTATAAAAGCAAATCTTCAGTTTCCAAAAATATAGTTGCTAGAACTATGGTACGTAATCTTGTCTCCAAGATGAACGTCAATTAATCAAATTATCATGCGTGATTGATATTTTCTACGTAGATATTTCTTGAGATTAATAATCAATCAATTTCTTCTATATGAAATCAAAGTCAAATCACTAGCCATCATAAATATTAAGATAAAAATAGTCATGGGATATTTTTATCCACAGCATGTGATAAAGCTGCTGTATGGGCATCATGGTCACTCAGCTCATATCAATTGTTCCCGGTTATGTTTAGTTTTCCGGTTGTATCAGATTTCCCAGTGATATCTAACTAATTCTCAAGGACAACTTTGAGTACATTAGAAATGTAGATTTTCTGGTTCTGTTCACCGTGGTACCTCCAAGTCTTTTCACACTATATTAGACTTGTTCACACGTAGGTTCATCCAATCTTCACCAATCCTTTTCTTTTGTACATATAATTTCCCTTAAAAGCAAGTATTACCTGAAAGACAAGCAACTTCTTCATTTATCAAGCTCATAACGCAAATGGATAGTTTGGTCTACTTCAAATTATTATAAGAGGTTTTCTCAACAGCACTTCCCTGCTCGCTAACCCGAACGGCAGCTAGTTGCTGGTACAACTTGTGCTCGCTCTTGAATTGGTTGAAGCTGTTGTAGTGGGCTATGTCGGTTCCCAGGATCAGGTCAAGGGTCGTGCTCGGCCCATCATGTTCTGGGACAAACAATAGAAACCTAATCTTCATCAGCAACTCGATATTAATCATACATTCGCTATATTCACGCTCATCTATTGTAAACTATAGTAAGGTCAATACTCGGCCCTGCGCGCATTACCCTTTATTTGGGGTGTGAAATTAATAGCAGGGACTAAGTCGCTAGTGCAAAAACAACCACCATGACAAGGGTCGACGACCCTTACCCAAATTTATCAAAAAGGTGGCCCTCGGCCAAGCTCTGTCTCTCTCTCTCTTCATCTCTGTGTCGTGTCAACAGTGGAGTCAACGGCGGTGAACACGCTTGCTTAAACCCAACAACGGACACCAGAATCTTCCTATGACGGGTGCCCACCAAATTGTCACTTTTGTAGTTTCCCCTCCCTCTTCCCTCTCTATGTTTTGTTCAATTTTATGAAAAAGTCCCTGTCATTGCGCAGAAAGCACCGCATGATTGCACATGCAAGTCAGTTGGCGAAGATTTGGCCGGTCATTGAGCTGGGGATGCATTTTGAGACTAATATGCTTATTTGAGGTCCTTTTTGACACAAGGCCTACTCTCGAAACTCCTTTTAAGAAAATGGTTCCACTTTAGAGCGCTATTTGAATTTTTACCATTAAATAATGGAAGTGCATGTGTGAGATTCAAAATGAAGTAAAAAGAGATCTCAAGGGGATGCAGATCTAACTAAATATTTCAATGGGCTCAAGTATGGAGCTCTCCGTTGAATCTCCCAATTTCGAAGGTATTGGACAATTGCTGACGCTTTTTACAATAGTGGTGCTAGAGTATATGGCTGTTACTTTTTTTTTTTTTTTTTGTGGTCGAATACAACTACCATTTCATTCATTCAAAGACAGATTACACGAGTGAAGCTGACTAGCATCATTACACAATAAAACCCAGAGAGGTTGGGGGGGTTTGTCCCTTTGCGATGGGACTTGGCGATCCAGTCTGCAACAAAATTGGTTTCTCGTGGACAGTGGGCCAGAAAAATACTTTGTGATTGGGTAAGTAGATGATTGCAGTCTTCGAATAGCTTTCTCAAGGCCCATGGGCTGAGGGACGGTTGCTCTGTATACCTCACGGTCGCCACATTGTCTCTCAAGATAGTCACTTTCACTGCGGGTCTTCTTCCTTTCTCTGCTTCTTCACTCATACAGTGTAAAGCTTCCATCACCACTTTACCTTCAACTTCCAGAGGAGAATTGGCCGCAACCCCTTTTGCAAACCCAGAAATTATCAAGCCCCTGTGATCTCTGCAAACGCCTCCAACCAATCCCTCAGTACCGCCCTCATTCCACGAGCCATCCACGTTGAATTTCCACTGCCCTGTTTCTGGCGGAGTCCAGTGTTCTGTTGCTGTCTTCTCCGGCCAGGTTTTGCGATCGGGGGAGTTCTACGTGCTGTAGAGTCTACACAGATTGATGGCATCTTCAACAATAGCTCCCGGTTTGGGGTTAATTCGGTGGAACACTTGGGTGTTTCTGGCTTTCCAGATTTGCCATAAAATGGCAGCGATAAGTTCTCGATGGGGTAGATTGCCGCCTGTGAGTTCTTCCTCTAACCACTTGTCCATTCTTGTTATGTTTGTTGGTGAAGCATCTATCTGTATTCTCTGATCGGTCCAAATTTGCTTTGTCCAGTCGCAAAGGAAGAAGATGTGCTCCGTGGACTCTGGAATTTGCCGGCAGATTGGACAAAGCGGGTCCGTAATCGCCCTTCTTTTGTATAAATTCTCAGTAGTGGGTAGAGCATTTTAGCACACACTCCACAGGAAAAATCGAATTTTTGGTTCGGTATGAAACTTCCATATCTTGGACCATAGAGAACGGGGCTGCTGATACGATGTTGATGCTTGTTCTGTATGTTGCTTAGTATGGGATTCTCGAAGTCTTGAGTAGCCCTGCTTGACCATGTAGTCCCCTGATATACTGCCATTCCATATTTGCTTATCGCCTTCCGGATAAGGTAGGATACGTGTGTCAAGAATTTCTCTTACGACCTCTTCCTGGAACTATGGCTGTTACTTGAGCCTCGGCAATATGTTTTAGTATATGGACTCAACAAGGAATTTTATGGATCATCATCGGTTGCCAAGTTATGGTTTTGGAATCAAATAGTTTTAGCAAAGAACTCGGACCGCCAGTTGTGACTTTGTCCCTGAAATTCTTCTTTGTGATGAGTCATTTCATTGCTCAAAACCATGTTGGCGACAGGAATTGGAATTTTGCCGGCATAAGTCAAGTCTGTAGTGATGGACAAGTTTTTCTTTGTGAAATGCTCAAGCTTGGGCAACGCAATTTGCATTTTTGTCCTTAAAGAAGAATTTTGGCAAACGAAACAGAAGCTTCGCCATTGAAGTGGCACTGCAGATAACCTTGGGGACCGACTCTTACCCACCGTCGCCAAAATTTAGTGGCCAGAACTTATTCTTCTTAAGTGTCTATTTGAATTGACTTTTATTTTTTACTTTTTTGTTTAACTTATATTTTGCGATTCACGCGTTTTGACCTTTCTATTAAATCCGAATCTGGCCTTTAGATTCAAATATAATTTTTTTCATGGCATTTTGAAATTAATTTTGATGGGATTTATTTTTCATCTAAGTATCAAACAAACAGGTTACCTAAAATATCATATACACATTAAACCTCGGCGAAAATATTGGAAGCGCCAAGGAGGCGTGGAATTTACATAACTCCATTCACCAGTGGCCACGTTCCATGACTGGCCTCACTCTGACTTCATCTGAAAATTCAATTTTTTTTCCTTTTCTTCTCACTCTACATGGCTCGCTCGCTCCTCCTACTATCTTTTCTTTTTGGGATAGTTATGAACTTTGACCTAATATGTAATATAGTCCATGAACTTTTAATTTGTTCAATGTGATCTTTGAACTTTAGCCAAATGTGCAATATGATCCTTAAACTTTTAATATGTTCAATGTGATCCATAAATTTTAGTACATATTTAAACTAGTCCCTGAACTATATGGAAGAAAAATATTGAACATTTTCATATAGTGCAAGGACTAGTTTAAATATATACAAAAAATTATGGACCACATTGAACATATTAAAAATTCAAAGATCACATGGCACATTAGGCTAAAGTTCAGGAACCCACATTGCATATTTGGTCAAAGGTCATAAACTATTTATGTCATTTTCCCTTTCTTGTTCCTCCTTCTTGAAATCCCTAAATCTAACCCAAAACAGAACTTCATATGGAAAGGAGAAGCACGCCACATTTCCTTCGAGTCTTCTTCCTTCCGGGGATCTACATCTTTCTGTTAAGTATTTCAATGAGGAAATTCATTGCCTCAATGTAAGATCTGGGTCCACCCACAAAAGAGAGGATTTCTAAATCTCACTGTGCTCTTAGGGTCCTTGTATCTTGGTTGTTCGTTTCTGGGTTTCAAGAATTTCCAAGGACCTCATAGAGAAGATGGCTCCAAGATTGGGATTTTCAGATTGGTAGGAAAAGGAAAATGGGAAGGGAACGCCTGTGACGGTGAAAACGGAAAACCCAATTCTATTTCAATGGTAATTTATGGTCAAAAAGGCATCGTCATTCTCAAATAATGGTGTCTTCACCATAGCAGCACTCACGTTAATATTATAGACTCAGGCTATATAACTGGTTCTACACATAATGTCTCTCACGGTTAATTTGAGCAGCTAGTAACATGTTAAAACAATAATATGGGGATGTATAAGAAAAGGTTACACGGCCTGTGATGACAAGTGACGGATGACAGGGATAGAGTTGTGATAGAGTAGAAGGTATTTAATGTGACGGATATAGCACGTGGCAGTTACAAGGTGTAACCGATCAATCAAAAGTGAGAAACATACACACATAGGACCATGGGCTATATGG